ATAAAATTTTGTGGGCGAAAATACATCCCTCAAATTTATTGTCACTGTCCAGAGCAGGAAGAAAACTACGTTCTGCACCGAATGCAGTGTGTCTCAATCAAGCACAAGCGTTTAGTGACTTTGTGATTACGGTGCTAGTCCAGGGCAAGTATAGTGATGAAATCGTCATTCACTGGCAGACTGGCTAAATAAGTGCCTGTGACAACTTGTGGTGCTTTCCAGCCTGATTTCCATCCATATTTTTGCCTGGAACCTTCTAAATGCGCGGGTCGTCCAGATTTTCGTAACTGGTGTGAGTTGCAACAATGAAAAATTCTGTAGCTAGTGCTGCGCGTCTTGGTCGTCTCGGTTCTTTGTTGGTCTATACCAAAATGTAATAAAAAAAAACTGCTTGAAGCTCTGTACTTTTTTCACCTATTACGTCCAAGCTGATTTCATTTTTTTGTGATTATATTTCTATTACGTTAGTAGAGCCTCGCACACTAACTCCCGAGTGTGCGATGCAAAATTAAAATGAGACACCCAGAAACCCGTTGCAGGTGCCATGAAGTCGCTGACGCAAACTTTGAGGAATGTATTTAAAAAAGTATTTGGAGGAGACCAAATACATTTGGTTGTATTTGTATTTTGTACTTAAATGTTTTTTTGGAAATGTAATTAGATGTGTAATTAAATACATTTTTGACGAAGTATATTGTATTTGCATCTCGATACATATTTGCATGTATTTTGCATATCTCTTGGGGGGGGGGGGGGGAAGGGGTTAACGTGAGGGTTATTCATGACCCTCGTGAGGGTAATCCTCGTGAGAGTAACCCTCGTGAGGGTAACCCTTTTGAGGGTAACTAACCCTCGCAAGTGACTGCTGGCGATCAAATCAACAAGGTTGTTTCGGGAGAGGGTGAAATGAGGTCCCTAAGGAAGACAGACATGGGACAATTCAACCGACTCAACTGATAACGAACGCCTCGTCGACAGGGTGAGGTAACAATGGTCGAAACGGGAAAATTGTTTCGGGATAGGGCGAAATGAGAAAAGATAAAACGAGAAGGTCGTTTTGAGCCGGGTCAAAGCGGGAAAGTACAAACGGGAAGGTTGAAATGGGAATGGGTTAAAACGGGAACCACCCGTCGAAACATGCCTAGTTCACTCTTTATTTTTGCAATCAAGGTTCTACCAGGTTCCACTAAATTCTCTATAGACGATTGCGATCAGGTCATCTGGACGCCTCCATACCTCTGCCCGTGCGAGCAGATGCGTTCAATTACAAGCTTGTCAAAGGCCAAAGCTATATTCACGCGCACGCTGCACACGCTTGCACGCATGGGGCACCAGTGAGGCGCCATGCTGGCAAGTGTCCATAGACCCTTTTCATGACAAACGACAACAGGTGGTCTTCCAGTCTTTTCTGTCCCGGACAACTTCCAGTCCATAAGAATGGCGAACAAACACCACTTTAACATTTAACCATTAATTCTCCAGGTGACCGCCAAAAGAAAGAAGTTGCTTGGTATCTATTCATTCTTTTTTTTATATACATTCTTGTAAACCAACTTGCCTCCTCCAAGACCTTAAAAGGGCCATGAAACGATTTTCCTGCTTTCGCTAAATGCTACTCAGAATCACTCCCTAACGTTAATGACCGAATAAACTTGCCCTAGTTTTTATTTCCATGCAATGAGAGTCGGCAAATAAATTCGAGAAATGTGAGCATCTTTCATCCCTTCAATTCGGAGCCAGAACCAGCGTCCACGTGGCCTGGCGCCTATCCTGTGCCGCCCACTTTAATCATAGCCACTCACTGGGGTCGGAAAATTAGAAAACGCGTGCTGAGCTTCAGGCATTGTTAGAGTTGGCGTCAAGAACGGTAAGTCGAAATGGCGTTGGCGCGACCGATCCGATCCTTGACAGACATCGGCTGGATGAAAATAGTATCGGTACAATATTTCCGATTTGAGGTCAATATTGGAGCAATACTCCATGCTACCTGCAGGCTCTATTCACGTCTTCTTTCATATTTCACGAGCGGAGACGATTTTATATATCTAAGTTGAACTGATAAAACTCATGCAGGTATACGATACGAAACTATTCTCTAGCACTCTAAAATAATACGCGAGTTCGCGTGGCGATTAATCATACTCTGTGCTTGTACCGCCGCACATCAGCAACAGTTTCACAAAAGCAATAAACATAAAAGGCTATGAAATCGTGGTTGTAATCGACCGCATTACCATAAATGCCCCTTTCACACCGTGCGAATCAGGGGCGTACAATTTGCCCACACACCCTTTTCAGACGATTTCAGATACCGTCGCTACAAGTGGTGCGTAAAAAGGGCATGTAAGGGGTGTAAAATACGAGCACACACCTCTTACACCCTCCGATATTTAGATATTGTGTAAAAAGAATTAAAGAAGGGTGTTCTTCCTATCCTGCACCCTTCTTACATACTTTTTACGCGGATAAGTGTTTTACAATGTTTAGCGTGTAGGATAAAAACGGTACGGCGGACTTTCATTTCTTCCACCTCCAGCACAAGCTCCCCAACTTCGATAACGCTTCGACGTCTCATACACCTCGAGCGCGCTCGCGCAGCCAAATGTGTATAACCTGCCGTGATACTAACTTTCTAGCTGGGAGTGGGAACTTAAGGTTTTTACTTGGTTAGGCTGCAGCTATCAAAAGGCGCCGACGAAGGGAAGATAAAACGCTAACAGCGTATTTATTACGAAAACACAGACAGTTACAACTCACGAAATTCGATACCGCAACTCGTAATTAATGTACGTTGGTTTCGCGAGGATAGATAAATCCCCCATACTTATGCGCGAAAATATCGCTCCCAAGCACCGCTTTGCTCGTAAAGTGCGGTAGTATTGGATACTTTTGGTAAACCGAACGCTGTGAATTGCTGGCCTAGGGAGCGCCTGCTACATCCATGCCTCAAAGTGACGGCACAAGCTCTAGCTATTCGCCCCTTTTTTTGTTTGACAACTAACTCAGCGGCGCTTTCTATTGGGTAGCCCCAGCACACTTCCGTTTCACGTATATTTCCTAATTGTTTACTCATCATATTTTTATCATAGGAGTTAATTAAATCTGACAGTGCTATAAGCGGCCATTTCCAGAGGATAGCGCGTATACTTGATTTCGCAAATACAGTGAAACCCGCCGTCCACCTCAGAACCAGAAGTGGTTGGGGGCTATTTGCACACTGGCGCCACCACGTTTCAACTCACCCGAGAAAGAATGAATAGCAACGCAAGGCTCCAGCGTGCGGTCTACTGAAAGTAACTTTTATGATGCCTGGTTCAGACAGGTGTGTTGGTTTCGTTTGGAATGACAGTAACGTGAGAAATGACATTGTCACCGGGAAAACAGTCTGCCGTACACAACGTGGAAAGCAATTAAAGGAGCAGCTTCGTGACGTAGTCAAGAGTCACTGTTTTCCCGGTCTGCTCTAGCTTTGGGTGTTATGGACACAGTCCGCGCAAATCTTTGAACTAGAGTTAAGCAACCCTTATGTAATCGGCACACCATTGCCCGCCTCTGTACTGGTCGACATCGTTTTGGTGCTCAATGTAGATCGAGTGCAATAGGCGACAGGCGTGATTAAAAAATGCGAATTCCTTTCTTTCAGATATGGTGTCAGCAGGCTCAGGCGATATCGTCTATTCTAATCCAATTAAGATTTCTGGAGGCCAAAAAACAGTTTTCTTTAATGTCATATGAAGCTTTAGATAACTGTCGACGATGATTGTAAGCACCAAAATGTCTGCAGTGTTGTTACTCTGAAGTGTAGATTATCTAGAGTCACTGGGTCATGGGTAAGTATAGCTACACTGCCTTCCCTGCCTTCTAGCAGAACATATAGAGATACTAACATGCAGGCAATAAAACCTTACAAGGCGAATGGCTGATCAGGCTACACTACCATGGCAATCGCCATCACGGTCCATACAAATCTTCGAAGCTTTTAAAAGGTCATTTTGCTACCACTCGCCCAAAATTCGCTATGGAGCATCATCGCGCTGAAAGTTTTCCTTGTCAATATAAGCGTCCTGGACGCTGTGTACGCTGTCAATGTATCGATCATGTTTATCTCCACAGATTACTTACAACTGTATTGTTTTTGTTGCTCATTTCAAGACAAGAAAATTATTTTTATTACCGTCAGGCAACGGCGCAACATGTGATGGCGATGCGAAGATGTGTGCTTGTTTGGACGGTGTGTTAGATCGTTCGGTCCAATTAAATTATTATTTGTAGTGCAATTACTTTTAATTGTGTATTCAAATTTCATTTTAAAAGGTTCCACTGGTTACATAGAAGTATACATGAAAATGGGCCGTCTGCGAGGCGTCGGGCTGGCGGTCTCTGAAGGGAATGCCCGCAGACCGCTCCTCTTCTTTATGCAGTGAAGGAGAGGACATGGCTCTTTGGCTCGAGGCTCCTGTTACTTGACGGAGAGGCCCGGAGAGTTGAGGGCTCGAGAAGCCTATCTGGGAACCCCAAACCAACTTCCGTCTGGCCCGTGTCTTGCGGTGATGTTGTGGCCGCTAGCAGGTTTATGAAGGGTCAAAATTCTGTACACAAAAACGACTTTATAAAGAAATCTGTCGCCACGAATTTGGATCGGCTCACCAAGAATGCAGATATCAAGGAAACGCTTTTCATTCCATGGACCACAGTAACGATCATATGGGACGCTTGGCGCTACTTTCCAGGGATCCATGACTTTGTTATGCACAAGCCTTAAGCCCGAAAAACTGCAAGAAAAAGAACTGACATGAGCCGCCGCAAGTACTCGGTATATTGAAAATGTAACTTCAAACACCTAGCTGTTTTTTTTTTTGTTTGTTTTGTGTTTTGCTTTTTGTTTTAGAGAACTTGTCGGGGTGGTGCATCTTCCTGTTCAGGTCACAGAATAGACTTGCTCAAGCACCTTTTGTGGCTCAATCTGTGAACCTAGGCTATTCATTGTTTTGGATATTCAGGCATGCAGCACAGCATAATCTTCAACGAGGAACCCAGGGGTCTGTCTTTGAGCTTCAAGCTCCTGCCGCAGTGGCTCGCGGAGCGAGGATACACCACGCATATGATCGGAAAGGTAGGTTGCATGAAGCCAAACGAGAGGCAGGCCACATTCACAAAAATTGACGCCCGACATATTTCAGTGGCATCTAGGCTTCCACAAGACCGAATACACACCGACAAAGCGTGGATTTCACCGACACGTTGGCCTTTGGGGCGCCTTCGTCGACTACTTCACTCACGAGAAAACGTACAGGGGGGTAGGTAACAACTTCTGATTCCTTTCGTAAGAAGCTTTTCTCTAGATCACTATGCATATATACTATAATCTACTGCACTGGAGTAGTTGGTACTGCGCAAACATTTCCGACGTGACACCCCCATAGGAAAGCATCGTTTATTAAAAAAGAATTAAACCATCCGTGTTTCCATATTATGATAAAATATTGTTAATCTGTTCTAATGTTAAGAGAAACATAAAATATTTTATGCACTTTTTCTTCGCCATTCAAATATGTCAACATTCCAACTAATTGTTTTTCTCATTCCAGCAATGCCGCAATGCGATTGAAAAAGTTGCCAAAATCTTGTAGCACTATTGGTATGAGCTATTTCGGACTGACTGCAAAATATGACTTTACGGTCATTTCCCTGTGCATCGTCGCTTTCTATTATTGCAGCTATGCACTTGAGCCTTCAACATTATTCTTATGAACAAATAAAACACTTACATTGTTGACATCTAAATTCGAAACTAGTAACTTAAAATTATTCAATACAAATTATTTCGGTGCTCTTCTAACGTTTAGCAAATATTATGGCTGTCGCTGATTTAACTTTATAAACTTTTATTTTATGCGGATTCGAAACGCATGACAACGGAATGCCTGATCGAAAGGAAAGCTTGAGAATGTTCATAGCAATTACAAGGAAGTATTACCTACATCACTGTGTTCAAGCTGATCCATCCTTAAAACAATAGCAGAAGCACACAGTAACATAACATTTTTAGATTTTTTTTTCACTATCGAAGTTTTGCTAGAATCGATATGAAAGTGCGATTTTCTTTCTTTCTTTGTGGTCGAAGTTTTCTTTCGGCCTCAAAAACTTGTATTGCTTCTACAGCCGGGTGGAGATACAGGTCTGGATTTTCGTCGGGATCTTTCCATATCACCGAACGAGTCCGGCACGTACATCACCCAACTCTTGACAAGAGAGGCCAAAGCCGTAATCGCAAACCACCCCATCGACAAGGTTAGTCATTACCTCGTGAGTGACCGTAAGACCTCCGTTTTTGCTTTAGACACCGTAGCCATTTGCACTAAAAGGAGTTTGCTCCGGGGAGAAGATTGAAGCCCAACGTGGGCGTGCTCGGCGTATGACCCACTTACAGGCACCCTATAGCCAATGACATGATGAGAACAGCAGAGATCCCGGCTGCACACCAATATCGGCCCGAGAGTGCTCCTACAATCATAAACAGTGGTATGCATGTCGGCATATATCGGCACATGCAACCAGGCGCTGAATTGGGCCACTCTAAACCGCCGATATTGGCCCAAACTATCTCTCCGCTCGGAGATATTGTTTGCCGGCATTGATAACCTCCTTTTACCCAATATTGGCTGCACCAACTCTACCTATATTGGCCAACATTGGTACCCACCTTCACCCAATGTTGTCTACAAACCTTTTCCTGTTGCTTCCCAATATTGGCTCAACCAAGTTTCGCTATATTAACCCTCCATCCACCGAGTATCGCCTTTTTATTTTATTTTTATTTATTTTTATTCACCAACTTTCACTATATTGACCAACCTTCTACACAATATCGGCTGCACCAAGTTTTCTCATTGAGTGTCCACACGTTGCCCGTATAAACAATATTGTGGTTCGGGTATTTCTGCGCTGCCACTTTAATCGGACACTAAATTGGATTTTGAGTTTGTTTTTTGCCGCATTAACACAGCTCGCACACTATATAAAAACCTAAGATTTCCGCCTAGCATTTATTGGGAAAGATTTATGTGACAGGCCTTTTTTCCTCGGATGTTTGAAAAAGTGTATGCCACAATTAATGCTGATCATGTTTTAAATGGGATGAAATGTTATATGCATGAAAGAAATCTTCGACTGATGATAAGGAAAAGGTACTTCCGAGATATGGTAATCAGTAACGCTTATTGAACCTTGAAGGCTCGCGTGGGCATTACGCAATGGGTGATATTCCTGGCCACTGACGAGACAAGTACAATACATGTTAACCATCGTTGATCACTGAGAAACCCCAAGTCAGAATTGGAAAAAAAGGAGAGGGGGGGGGGGGGGGTGTCAAAACTTTTGTTACAATATTTCTGAAATATCTTGTGAAGTTTTTTTACTGACGTTTTTTTTTCTCTCAGAATGCTGAGTCATCGTTCAAACCAGATATAAGAAAAACTCACGCTTGTGTTTTTATTGACAGCCTTTATTCCTATACTTGGCCCACCAAGCACCACACTCGGCTAATCCGGACGAACGCTTGCAAGCTCTCAAGGAACACATCGACCAATATCGCGACATTGGGTCCTGGAAAAGAACACTTTATGCTGGTAGGTTCATTTCGCAACATTTCTGTCTTCATTCTGATTGAAGCGACTTCGGAAACGGCCATTCCTTAAAAAAAGAACCTACTGATAACCTTAATTTACATTCGCTAACCTCTTACTCGTTCTCCTCAAGCGCTACCGTAAACAGGCTCCCGCGTGTTTAAGAAGTTTTGCTTTGCTGCGTCATAAAATTTTGTGCTCCTGCTTCTTAGGTTCCTGACCAAATCTATTACAACTGCATAATTGTGATACTCATTTCATTTTTTTCAGATCACCCATAGTCCTCCAGCCAGAAAGCATAAATATCGGGCAAAAATGTGAGGTTTATCGGGGTGCCGTAAACTTGGTCATCAATCACTCTTTCATACCCATTGTCATCCTGCATCTTGCCACGACTGATTTCACTTTCCATCATATTCTTGCGCCCAGATCATTCTCGGAAAGTGAAAGCAATAACACGCAACCAATCTTCTTTTAATGGAAGATCACATACTGCGTGTAAAATATGAGTAGAATAACTTACCGGGGAGCGTTGTGACTAAATTTAATTTATTGAATTTTTAAAAAATCACGCGCAGCGTGAAAACAAGACACTTGTTCGTTCCCGCATTATATGTGGTTTGATTATATTATTAACATTTCACATGCAATTTCGCTTGCCGCACCCTATATAATAATGCTCTCGTCCTATTTTTTAAAATACATTTAATGTTGTATACTTTATTTAGAATGCAAATATTCGCACACTTCCTTTTTAAAAAATGGCCGTATTATACCCTAGATACACGAGCTCTCTATCAACTGCCATTGAGCCAAGGACAATTGACTCAATCGCGATCGTCCGTAGTTACACGAAGGCGCCAACTGTCATTGAGCTGCTAACGATTAATGAATTCAACTGAGCTGGGCCTACCTCAGTTAACTGATGTGGGTTCGCTCCAATACGGCTAAAGTTTGCGCCGTCTGCCTCATTGCCGCCAATGACCAGCGCCAGCGAAGCACTCACTATTGCGAAAGATTGGGGGAGGCATTTTGAAAATATTGTAGCAGCAAATATTGCCGGAAGAGATATGATTCGGGGCCAAAGCTGCCACTAAAATGATCACGGCACGCCGCGGAAGCCCCACTGATATATTTTGGAGTAGGCTAGATTTCGAATCGAGGCTTGTCTTGGTCGAGCGGCACCACCGGCAGCCATGGCTTTACACCAGCTAATGCATGGAAGAAACGGGAAAAACCTAAATTTCTTACTTAAGTAGAATGTTATGGAAGATCAAACCTTAGTTTTCGAGCATGAGATTTAATATTCTGAGCGCAAATATCAAAAGTGTCAGAATACCAATATCTTTTGTGGTTGAGGGTTACAAGGCTACACTGAATCTGTGTTCCTGTTGAGCCTGGACCATATTTCAAATGTCGTCTGCCAGCAACACAAAATGATAATCGCGAGCGCGCGAGCATTCCCTCGGTCGCCTGCAACCGCCGCGACGGGGACGCCCGCGCGCTTTTCACACCTCGGAGAAATAATGCAGAAAAACTTATACCAGAACATTAGAATTCACATATTGTTCAAAGCCTGTGAAGCGACAATCTGCGAGTCTACAATCTCCGGTGGCGTGCATCGCACCGGAGATCGCGGGTGAGACTTTCTTCATAGTTACTTTCGACGAGAAACGACGTGCCTTATGGGCGAGAAACTTGCCCTAGAGAGACCTATCGCACAAAGACTTCCTTGCGATTTCAACTTTAGGGACGAAGACATTCTGAAGTGCTTCGAGCACGATATTTGTTGAAACGTTGTCCTACACTCTTAGGAAATAGGGTCAGTATAGTCCTCCCTAAAGGGAGGAACGCTATTGACACATATGTTCCTTCAGAAAGGGAGAAACTTTCGTCCCTGGAAGAAGGTTAGCAAAATTCCTCCGTCGCCTGCATCTCATTATGGCGGCCACGAATCGAGCAAATCGAGCTCAATAAGGCTTAACGAGAACACTAAGTTTATTGTACGGAGCGAGAGGAGCAGCAAATAAAAACGCAACACGAGCTTTCCGCGAATTGTATTTACTTCCGAAGCGGGTTTCGCCCTGCACATAAAGAAACTTACGTTTTGAAAGCATGCAGTCATTCAGTCTTCTCCTCGTCAGCACTGCGATGCTAAACGGAGACAACCGGCCCCCAGTTACTTCGCCCACTTTATGTCTTACCTTTGATATTCCTCGAGCCATAATTCCTTCGTCAACTGCACATCACGGAGGAGTGGTAAACCATTCGCCCGCAAAACCAAAAGTCGCTCTCAAAAACAGGAAATCCGAAGCAGCCTCTTGACTCATTTCAGCACGGTAACAAGAAACTTTAGCGTAGCCCATGGAGAATAGAAGGGTAGGAGAGGGCATGACGTCAGCCATGTAGTCTCCATAAGCCATGCGCCCTTAACGCCTCGCCTCTTTCTCATTTTCCTCCTTACTCTCCCCACTTATCAGGCCAACGTGACCACATCACTTGACCGTAGCTAGCCTTCGTCTAGCCTTCGATCTGATAAAACCTACCGGACGGAGCGCGCGCAAGCCTGCAATTAATCCTTCTAGAATCAACCATCCATCTCACACGTGACATGTCATGCGCGCCAATAGTCAGAGAGATCTACGGTCACGTGGGCCACAACATCGTTTAAACTGTTTATGGCTATAGTCCGTTGCAACACAAGAAGGTAGGGCGAGGGAAAGCAAGGCCAGAAAAGAGGAAGCAGACGGAATACTGGAGAGCCCCAGCGCACCTTCTGCTTCCTCCTCCCTTGCCTTTCTTTCCCTCGCCCTACCTTCTTGAGTTGCAACGGACTATAGGCTTCACCAATATTGCAACGTGCCCTATCCTAGTACTCATAACCTCCTTGGCGTAGCGCGTAGCGTAAAAGGAGGTCAAATCGCTTGCCATTAGATAGCAGGGTCAAGCAGAGTAATCGCAACTAGGTAGGCTAGGTGGCGCTAGGTACCGCCCAACTCATGTTCTACAAAAAATATTTTTTTACACTGCCTTGCGCTTCGGGATTTTCGGGAACTTCTATTATACACACATGAAGACGCATTACGCATACTTCAGGCATCAGCTGAACATACATTGAGCGCATACAAATACATGGCACATACAAACGTCAATACAACGGCACATTTACCCGATCACCACACTCGAGCACTTCGTTCCCGTCTTTTATACTGGTCGTTTTGAACGTACGGAATTTCTCGGTGACTGCCTAAGCAACAAAAAATATTCCCAGCAGGTTGATTTCTTTCCAGCAATGGCATACCTCTGAGAGTAGTTTTAATGGCTCACGGAATGAATCTCTTAATAAAAAGAAAACGCTCGATCATGCCGTAATTATTTGAAAACCAATAAATCGAGCCGCTCCAAGGCGGTTCCAAGCCATGAGTTTGTTTCTCCGCACGGCACTTCGTAGCCAGTATTTCTATTGTGTTTGTTTTTCTATTTGTGCTCTTCGCGCACGGCCGCAATTACCGTCTTGAATTAATCTCTGTAGAGCGGATATTCACCACTCAGCTGGAAGTGATGCTTCACGGGCAGAGAAATCGCTTTTCGATCAACTCGAATGCAGTCAAAGCCGCGACTTGCGGCAGGTTTTAAGTGTACGCAGCTACGCCGTGGCGAGCTCGAAAACTTTTAGCGCTCATCCCAGTGCGCCACTTGGAGGGCAGTTTCTCCAGAAACCGTAGTACCTATATTTAAACAGCAAAATAAAGGACAGCTTTTTTTTTCGACTTTACCTACTATTTGTTTTAATGCTAAAATTTCACACTGTAGATATACGTACTTGCCGTCATAATTTCGTACTCTTCATTCCTTTCCCCAGAGCGCAATCGCTCTCGGGGACTGACAGTCACATTGGCCACTGTACGATAGGAGCTTACCTTTCAGACCAGCGTTCCAACATGACTATCCCAAAACTTTTTAATGTAATGTAAAGCGGAATGTCAACCTGCGACACCCCGCTTCCTCCGATCACGGCCCGACCTGCGGCATCAATGACAGACAGCTTACGTCATCTCATCTTGCTACACCATTGATACGCGAACACACGGTCACATCGGCGATAATTCCAGCCTTCCATTCACAACGCAGAACACTGCCATCACGATGATGCTGTTTTGTTTCAGACACGAACTAATACAGAACCACGTCGATTGCCGGTTGGCACTCGGCATGGAAAAATAGAGCCGAACTCAGCACGGAAGGTACTCAGACAGCCGGCAGCAAAATCCGCCTGTCTTGGACGCAGTTCCTGCGACTTCCATAGCTTCGAAAACGTCGACACAGTTCCACGTGCTCCCACTTCTGCACATCTAATTAGGTCCCGCAAACCGGTGACGGCCATCTTACCCAGTGTATGTAGCGCTGCTGGTACTGCTCCGGAACTTCGCTGTTTCTAGCGGCTTCGTTTGCTCGTTTGATAAAATAAGTGGTAAAAACGTCAATGCAACCGGAATGTTCTGCACGTTTGAACAAGAAGACGGAATTACAGGCGGCCTTTGGTGCCGCCTGAAGCTCAATCAACTCAACAACATTTATTAAACAACGTGCGCGACGTGCTCGAAAAGCGAAAGAAGATGCGTCAGGAGGGCGAAGGGTTTCTCCCGTCTGCCTGGAGAAGGAGAAAAACGTTTCGTTCTTCCTTTTTTCTCGTGTCCGCTTGGGGGCGCGTCAGTAGAAGGGAGGAAGACGCGCCCGTTGCTTTTTCCTTCATATTTTCTTAGAGTGATGCCGCGGGGTAAGTGGAGTCTTAAACCTGACGCCGTACTAAGGCTATTTGCGACCTTCCCGGAACATTTGCCGCGTTCCAAACGAAGCCTGAAAGTATTGGGTCACCTGATACACTGTTAGCAAAAATAACACGCCCAGACGTGTAAACCGTTGTCCCATAGCGGACACGTCGAAACGTGTTCGTTTTACACGAGGCCATCTGTGTTTTTCGTCTACACATGAGGTGCTGTGTA